AGAAAGCTAGTGCACTGCCTGCACTGCTTCCATGTGCAAGGTGCCTGCTTGTGTGGTGACTGGCTTCTCGCTGGGTCCTTCATCTTAAATTACCTGTCCTAGGGTAAAGAGGTAAGATGCTAACTGCGGCTGCACACAACTATACCTTTAAAGCACATTTGAGGCACAACAAAGGGGCCTGGTTCGCATGACATAGTAAGCCAAACTATGGTTTACAGAGACTCTGTGGGTTCCCGGTGAGTAAATTTCAGCTGCTTTGCTCCTCCTCCTACGCTTTTTGATACTGTGCTTAGTTAAGCCAAAGTTTATTTTAACTATCCCTGTAGCATCAACTAACTAGATGAAGGTGTTTCATAGCTGCTTGTAAAGTGCAGGATTTAGTAGACAGGGAGATTTACCAGTGTTCCAGATACAGCATAACTCCCATAAAAAACAACAGCAAATAAAGAAAACTCCTTTCAGTGATCCCTCTTTAGAGGCACCTACCTCCACCAGCAAATTTTACATGATGGAATCTTAACACTCTTTATTATTATTATTATTTTTTAAGGCGCCAGAAAGTTTCTGTGCAATACCATGAAACTTCAAAAAAGGAACACCATATTGTGTCTTCCATTTGCTACAGATATATTTGATATATTGCCAGTAAGTCAGTAAAGGACTTCAAGAAAGTCACTTCATTAGCGCATGGGAACAGCTCTCTTGACTTCAGTGTGATGTGGCTTGCTTCCTTAGTGCCTCCTGGAAAAACCTACAGAAAAAAAGGATATTTTATAAAGAAGTTGCTTCTATTAAACCAGTTGCTAGTTTTCACAGTGACATAAAACTTTCCAGTGTTTATACCTTCCCCATTACATATACTTTCTTGTGCCAAGCTTTTTTTTTCTAAAAAAATATTTTTACTATTTTTGTATGCCAATCTGGACACACACAAGCAGATTCACATTCTAATAACCACAGCAAGTAATGGGAGGAACAGGCAGGGAGCCATGTAATGCAGTACTAATTGTTGGATGAGTCCTTGTGGTTTTTGTCCATGTATTGACTTAGATTTGAACAGAGAACGACTGCTACAACACAGTGTGGGTAAACAGACATCACTGTGCTAATACTGCTATCTTATTCATGGGAGAAAATTAATGTTAACAATGCTGTTAAAATACTCAAGAGATATAAAGAGAACCTTTCTACAACAGAACATTTGCAGATTGTGCTGGAATTGGTTTTAATTAACTGCTATCAAAAGATTCTGCTTTGTTTAAAATCATATAACTCTATCATATTGCATTTTTGATCAGACTTGACATTAAAATTACAAGAATTGCCTGAATTCCTGATGCTTTGGTACCAACAACATAGGGAGGCTATTGCCTTATAGCAGGTACAGAAAATATTTGGGCCTCTACTTGTTGCTGAACTACAACTCCTGTCATTATTATTTTTTGTCTTTGGCCATGCTTGCTGAGGCTGATGGAAGTTGTAGTTCAGTAACATCTGGAGGGCTGAAGGTTCCCCAGACCCGGTTAGTTCTGCTTATGGGTTTCCCACTTGGCATCAGCTAGCCAGTACTCTTGGAAATGGAATGTTGGAATTGGTGGACCTTGATAGGATCCAGTTGGGTGCTTCTTAAACATAAATTAATTTTAAAAAAGCAAACTAGCTGAATAACCAAGATGATAGAACTATGAGCACCTTGCATATATTAAACCTTACTGTTACACAATTAAACCAAGTACAAATATTCAGACTTCGTGAAGTTGCCATCTCTCAACCTTAGGGCTTGACCTTTCTTTAGTTGCTCTGAAGAAGAAAGACAATCAATGGCATCATGCTGCTGCTGTCACGACAAGACCCTTCTCTCTGCCTTGCTGATGTGGTCTAAAGGAAAGCAGAGCAATACATTTGGCACCAGCTTGGCTGCAGGAGTTGCTGGAAGGAGACATACATATAACAATTTTAAGGACTTCATTTGGGATCTGTGTAGGGTTTACTTTTTTGCCTTTTCTTCTCCCAAAGATGACCTGCAAGGCAAGTGTGTACAGATGTTTCCTTGGTTTACTCCTGAAGTCTTTCTCATAAATGAGTATCTGGAAGGCAGCAGAGGTTTAGGAACTGAGTTTTCCTTCTCCTAGATGGGCTACCTTCCTAGGTTGACAAGTCCCATTTGTCACTCATGTGACTCCCAAGCAAGACAGAAAAAGCATTTGGAAGTAAGCTTTCAATGCTCTTGTTTTTGGGTTATTCTAAGTGTGCAGAATCACAAATTTTCACATTCCACAATGGTTGCTTGGTCTGCATACCTACTAATCCATTTGTAGTTTTCCTACTTCTGTAATTGTTCATGATCATCCTCAACCTACTTTCAATCTAGATTGATTCTAGATCCTGTCATCCACCAGGGTTGGTGTGGTTACTTGATACATGTTTGAAAACTCTCTTCTTGGTTCGGTCATCCACACCTTTTCTTCCCTGCATGTGCCCCAGGGGTATTTAGAATATAGTGATGATTCTGATCTTGGTATGCATCCAACCACAATGTCATTTGGCAGGTGTATAATCCTCACCCCCATTGCCTACATCTGTTTTCATTTGTTTTCAAACAGACACACTGTGGTGTAATGCAGAATCAAGCTGCAATGAGCTTTTGTTTTCAGATGAAACCTGGTTCTCAAAAAGTGTTTTTCAGGGGCAATAAACTATAAATCTAGATTGTTTGTGGACTACCTAGAAAAAACAAGTACTCAGTGTCCATTGACTCTAGAATGAAATGTTGTATGTACCCAACTTAAACAACAAAGAACATGACCTGAGATTTCATTATTGGTAGGATAACTTAGACACAACAATGTTGGAAGCTGCATGTCATCAGACTATTTGTTCATCTTGGATGTTATTGGGGAGGGCTTTGCTGGTATTTATTTGTTAACATTGATTATGGATGCTCTCCAATGATCTTGGATGCTTTTATGAGCTTTGCAGGTTCAATATTTTCTTATTAAATGATCTATTAAGAGTACTATCCTACATTAAACTTAAGGAAGGGACTATTGCTTAGGGGGCAGGTTGTTTTGTATGTGAGAAGTACAATCCCTGGCATTTGATGTGAAAGACCTCTGCCTCAAACCATAGAGAACATTACTGCTGGTCAGAACTGACACACTTGGCTAGATCAAGACTGGTGGACCTCCAAAGGTTGTTAGACTACAACTCCCATTATCCTTGACCATTTGCCCTGCCAGCTCAGGCTGATGGGAACTGGAGTCCAACAACATTTGCAAGGACACAGGCTAATGTTAGTCTAGTGTATGCTACCATTTATTATTAATATTATTATTAATATTAACAAATCATAATAAATTATTAAGCTTTGTGTTATCTATGGTTTTTAGATAGTAGCCTAGAGAGCAAGAATTCTGGGCTCTATGCAAAGGATTTACTTATGCAAAGGATTTACTTAACTGGTTTTGATTTCCAGGAAGCTCTGGAATGCTCTGTGCTATAAAGTGATTTTGTATCAGATATATGTGGTTTTTAAGTGGAAATATGACCTACCTTTAAATATAATATACTGTAAATCAGTCTGTGCTATAACTGCAATCTCATAGGAAAAAAATTCATAGTGCACAAATTAGCATTGCTTATATAGCATTAACAGTGAGCTAAAATTAAAACCTAATGGGTGCAAAAAATATCAATTTCTTATCAAACGGATGAGGCATTTTCTTGACATTCCTGTCTCCTAGTCTGGTGAATAAAACTGATCCCCATTTTCCATCCTTTCCATATACAGCAAACTTCCAATAATTTTAAAGACAAACTGTATGCAAGTTCTTTTACAGTCATCTAAATAAAATAGTGGGTGGCGCTGTGGGTAAAACCTCAGCGCCTAGGACTTGCCGATCACATGGTCGGCGGTTCGAATCCCCGCGGCAGGGTGCGCTCCCGTCATTCGGTCCCAGCGCCTGCCAACCTAGCAGTTCGAAAGCACCCTTGGGTGCAAGTACATAAATAGGGACTGCTTACCAGCGGGAAGGTAAATGGCGTTTCCGTGTGCTGCGCTGGCTCGCCAGATGCAGCTTTGTCACGCTGGCCACGTGACCCGGAAGTGTCTGCGGACAGCGCTGGCTCCCGGCCTATAGAGTGAGATGAGCGCACAACCCTAGAGTCTGTCAAGACTGGCCCGTACGGGCAGGGGTACCTTTACCTTTACCTTTAAATAAAATAGTTGTAGGAGAAAGAATATTGCTTCTTGGTAATCTGACTACATTTCATTACCTGTGAATACACAATTTATTATTGTGTTCTGCTATTTTCAGTTGTGTTGTAGTTTTTATCAGGGGAAACTCTTTCCACAACTATTGAGAACCCCCATGTTCCGTCATGGAAACCCAGCACACTGCAGAAATTGTGGACATTACCATTAGTTAGAGTGGGTTGGCAAACTCAGGTAGCTGATCTTGGGCAGGAAATTATTAGGTATTTACTGTATTATTATATTTTGCTGCCAGGGAATGGAATAGGCACAGGGGAGAGGTTTTTTTGCACCAGGTGTTAAAATAAGTTGGCCAGCTTTGAGTAGTGTTACCATGCCCCTTTAGTGGTTGCTTCTCTGCCTCAGTCATCAGTGTGTCTTGGGTTGGTACTGATTAAGACAGACCTGTTGTGCTTCACTGGTGCCCTCTATGAACTGAGACCATGAGCTATAATGTTGCAGGTGAAAATAACGACAGCCTATTTATCGAGGAAGCAGGCCCAGTGTTACAGAGATGCTTTGAAGAAATTCCTGGGAACCCCAAAACAAAGTTAGAGAAACACAGACATAAGTAAAGGGGGCAAATCTTTCTCATGTAGGATAATTAATATTTAGAGCCATGCCTGACTAAACCATACTCAGAGCATATGTAAGTTCCGTGGTCCTCCTCTGAGTATGACTTAGTTAGGTACTAAGTATTTAGCACCAAGTTTTTAGTAGTTTTCAGATGTTTTCTTCTGCATTCTAGGATGATTGTCCATGGAGTATATCGTAACTGTGCTACAGGATTTCATGAAATCTTACTGAAATGTAAGGTTTCTCTCTCTCTCTTTTTCCTGCATTTGTTTCTGGCTTCTTCTGGCAAAGGTAAGATTTTATTTTCCATTATTTTTCCCTGGAAAAAATGTCAGTTATATTTTCTTTTACAATAGTCTTGAATGAATTGTATCTTGACAGAAGTCAACCAGTGAAATGGATATACAGTGGTACCTCAGGTTAAGTACTTAATTCGTTCCGGAGGTCCGTACTTAACCTGAAACTGTTCTTAACCTGAAGCACCACTTTAGCTAATAGGACTTCCCGCTGCCGCTGTTCTCATCCTGAAGCAAAGTTCTTAACCTGAAGCACTATTTCTGGGTTAGCGGAGTCTGTAACCTGAAGCGTATGTAACCTGAAGCGTATCTAAGCTGAGGTACCACTGTATGTAATAATTCAATCCAAACATTTCTATAGCGCTTTTCAAAGTATGTTGTCTGTCATACCATGACCCTATGAAGTAAGATAAATCAGGATTGTGGCTTGCCCAAGATTATGAAGTGAACTTCAATTGCACCAGTAATAACGGAACTGAAAAAAATTATTTTAGATGTTTAAATTCAGTTTAATTAAACTACTTATGGTTTCAATATACAATGTGAAATTAATCTTTTCTTGTTGGCTAGAATACAGTGCCTGATCTATCCTAAATACCAGGTATATTTGTATCCATAACTGCAGAGGCAGATAGATCAGGGAAATATGATAACAGATAACTCCAACATTTTGCCAAGTGGGTCATACGTTGCTTTCTGTCTGGCAGAAATGGGGTGAAGAGGACAGGCTATGACTGAGGTTTGCTAGTTCTCATTCCAGATACACAAAGTAATGTCTGTCCAGTCTCTTAAATACATGGAACACATTTGAATTGTGCTGTTATATAAGCAGTGTAACTCAGTCACAAAATGGTTCTAATTATGCTTCGGCCATGAGTATTGCACTTGGATGTGATTTACATGCACTTAATCATACTTGAAAACATGACAGTTAATCTGTCTAATCCTTTTCTTTGCTTCAGTAGATCACTATTTAGCATATTTCAAATTATTAAAAATATATGCATATTGGGAATGCAGATAGGGGTTAGTGCCAGGATTTACATTTGCCTCTAGGATGTCCTGGGCTTTGTACATGAGAGAGCCCAAATTCCCTGGGAGAAGTCTATACAGTAACTCCTTCCCATGCCAATATGAATGTAATTTTCTAAAGGTTAATGATGATGTGCAAAGGAACTGAAGCTGAGGTTCTATCCATGTGGTATCTGCAATGTTTTTTTCTATTAAAAATGTTTAGGGGTACTTTCATTTTCCTACTCATGTTGAAATACTGCCCCTCAATGAGGCCAAATGTTTAGATTCACAAAATGTTTAGGGGTATGTGTACCCCTGCGTCCCCCCAGAAAAAAGCACTGCCTGTCTGTATGGAAAGGAATGGTGCTATGCTCCCATGTCAGTCAGATAGCGTAAGAAATCAGAAGGTGATGTGTATGCTAGGAATGCCCAGATGATATGAGGAAATCTGTGAATTTGAAACATAGTGCTACTTTGTCATCAGATTTCAGAAAGTCAGATACAGGAAGTCATAAAAGTGCTGCAGAAACTAATCATTTTTGTACAAAATGATTTTAAAAGTTTGTTTTCTTCTTGCAGCTGAGAATAATTTCTTAGGAAATTACAGAGCTGTGTTCAATACCTCATGTGAAGAAGTATGGACTTTGTCACCTGCAACGTCTGTGCCTGCTCTTATGAACTTCACATTCTGCATTCATCTTAAACTATATGACCCAAAAAACGATTGGACGGCATTCGTCTACAAAAAAGAACCAGACTGCGATCTACCAGCATCAGATTGTTATGAAATTGGCCTTACAGGAGGACAAGGCAAATTGACTGTTTGGCTATTTGGTGAAAATATAACCTGGGAAGAGAAACTGGATGAGGACACCTGGTACCAGGTATGCACAGGATGGCGAAGTGAACCGCAGCAAGTGAATATATATATAAATGGTACAGAAAAAATAAATGAAAAAATAAATATAACTCGGCCGCTTGCTGCAGGTGGGCAGCTTTTACTTGGTTGCTCACAGAAGCCTGGCACACCCTCAAATTCTTCAAGTGGAATGGTTGGTGAACTGTATTTGTTCAGAATGTGGCCTAAAGGAGAACTATTCCGTACTCAAAATTGCCAAGATGGCGCCACTGTTCGCTGGAGGAAGGATCACTGGGTCTATAATAAGACAGCACTGTACAGCAACTCTTTGCCATGTGGTAAGTAATACTGTGCCCTTTTTTCTGTTTACGGGGATGCCTTGTCTTACTGTAAGGGGCGGCTCATCCACTTGAGGCAAAATGGGAAGCGCTGCCTTTCCTTGCCCTGTTGTTCCCAAACTGTTGCCGCTGCTTCTCCGCTTGCCCTGCTGCATCCGCCTCTGGTGGAGGAGCAGCACCAGCATCAGTGCCAATTTCAGGCAATATCTTGCCCGATTTGGACAAGTTGTTGCCAAAAGATCTTGCATGATTTCGGACATGATTTCAGCTGAAATCAGCACCAAAACTGGTGGTGAAGGCAGCAGGGCAGGGGGCACACCCATAGGGCTGCTTGATTCAGTATATAACAATGGGAAACTGGGTAGACTATGGGCAGCGAGAAGGAGGGAACGGTCTTAAATTGTTTGGCGCTGAATTATCTCAGTACCATCTCACTGTGTTTTCATGTGCTGTTGTGTATTGGAAAGAATACACCTTTTCTCTGAAAGGCAGCTGTAGATGGGATAAGGGGTATGGCAGATGCTCAACAAGGCATGCACACTTTGCAAGCTGACTCACTAATTGGGAGGGAATGCGTATTCTCTTCTTGCAAGTGATATTCAGAGTCTAGAGGTGCTGCAGAGGCTCAGAAGGATGCAGGTGCTTCGGAAAACACACAATGGAAGGTGGTACATGTGCAGGATAATGTAATGGATTGGACCTAAATAAAACATGCTGTCTCTGCACAATACAGACTTGCTATCAAATCTCTTCAGATGTTTACTACATTTTTGTAATGTTCACCTGTGCAGTATCAACAGAGATACTGTACAAAGTACAAAGGTACTTATTTTTTCAGCTGAGATTGCTAAGATGACAAGAGAAGAGGTATGGATAAATGGTAGGCATCAGGGCTATATATTTTGGGAAGAGGGCCAGGAAGTTATGAAGGCAGGGCATGTAACCATGTGAGGTTCAGACATACCTCTCCCTCCGAGCCCTATACCCGTTTATAGACCCAGACTTCCTGTTTCCAAAAATATCTTTCTGCAGCTAAATACTTTGATAAAAGAAACAATGCTGAGATTATCAGAATTCCATGCTGCCTTTACAACCTGCCATTGCCTTTCCTCATATTATGGCTTACAATTAAATGTGCATGATGCAATTGCAGCTGTAAATAAAAAATGGAAGCTTTAAACTAATGCACAGAATGCGGTGGTATTGTATCATATTGTTGCATGCCATCCCAATTTTCGAGTGGCGTGACATTCCAGGGGTTCCAGGCATTTACTCAGGGTTCACATTTCCTTTGGAATGAGGTACAGCAGAGATTGTGGTGTCTTTATGATATATGGTTTCTTTACACATATATACAACCTGAGCCTACAATGGAGGGGTTCACAGCATTAACACCTTGCTTCTCCCTTAGCTGTAGCCTTGGATTCAAACAAAAATCAAACATCTCTTGCTTCCCTGCCCATTGCTTCCCAGCCTGCAGCTTTTCTTCCAGCTTCTAGCTAACACCACTCAATTCTCAGCTTTGTCTTTCTAACTGCCAGTCTGGTACAGATCCTCTTCCTTTGTTCCCTTAACGACCCATCACCAAGAAGCTAGCCTGGCTATTCTAGGAATTTGCATCATTGATTAGATTTTAACACTTGCAGGCTTCCCCTTCCCCCAGACTCAAAACAATGTTATAGAATCATAGAATTGTAGAGTTAGAAGGGACCCCGGGGATCAACTAGTCCAACCTGCTGCAATGCAGAAATCTCACCTGAAGCATCCACGGCAGATGGTAATAGGAGATGCAACAGGTAAGGTAAAGGTAAAGGATGGTTAAGTCCAGTCAAAGGCCGCTATGGGGTACGGCACTCATCTTGCTTTAGGATGAGGGAGCCGGTGTTTGTCCACAGACAGCTTTCCAGGTCATGTGGTCAGCATGACTAAACCGCTACTGGCGCACGGAGGACCATGACGAGTGCCAGAGTGCACAGAAATGCTGTTTACCTTACTGCCGCAGCCGTACCTATTTATCTACTTGCACTGGTGTGCTTTCAAGCTGCTAGGTTGGCGGAAGCTGGGACAGAGCAGCAGGAGCTTGTTGCGGGGATTCAAACTGCCGACCTTCCAATCAGCAAGCCCAAGAGGCTCAGTGGTTTAGACCACAGTGCCACCTGCTCCCCTGATGCAGCAGGTATAGTACCACTAAGTGGGTAAGATTGAGGATGAAGGTCTGAGAAACCAGAGTAATAAGTAATGACACCTCTGGGTCTGTAAGAAGCACCAGGGACAAAAGACAGTGAAACCCCAAAGCTCTGAACCCACTTATTGAGTAAGGCTAGTCTGAAGGGTGTTAAACTGCATTGTTGGTTGCTTCGTGTCCCATTTGATGCTGCATGCAGAGTTGTAAAATGATTCTGCCCAGAATATGACAAAAGGGGAGAAACGAAAGTGAGAGTCGTGACTGTCATCTGTCTATGGTAAATTATTCCTTTTTTTATCTAGTACAAGCAGCTGTGTAGCAAGTGCACCACAATGAAAGTGCTCTGTACTGTTTTCCTGTCCCTTCGCCTGGATTTAGAAATTAAGAAATATATATATATATATATATATATATATATATATATATATATATATGAGAAGAATGACTAATCACAGGAAGAATGCTGCAGCTCTAGAAACCGTACCTGCTGATTCACATACCTACTTCTATCTGCACATTATCATAAGAAAGAGCTCTGATCATTTAACCTTTTCTTTTTCCTTGTTTGTATTTTTCATACTGAAGTTACTGCCTAGAAATCATCTGCTGGAGAGCACAATGTACCGTAATTTCAAGCACCTCACCCTCTTGTCTTTGTGGAACATGTAAATGGGTCTTGTGCAGTGTTTACCTCATCCATGCATAGTCAATACCTTTATGCTAAAAAAAAGGTGTATGGATGTCTTGTTTAAGTATTCAAACCAGATTTTTCACACAAGTTAAAGGTAAAGGTAAAGGTACCCCTGCCCGAAGGCCAGTCGTGTCCGACTCTAGGGTTGTGTGCCCATCTCACTTTGGAGGCCGGGGGCCAGCGCTGTCCGGAGACACTTCCGGGTCATGTGGCCAGCGTGACGAAGCTGCTCTGGCGAGCCGGCACTAGCGCAGCACACGGAAACGCCGTTTACCTTCCCACTAGAAAGCGGTACCTATTTATCTACTTGCACTTAGGGGTGCTTTCGAACTGCTAGGTGGGCAGGAGCTGGGACCCAACTACGGGAGCTCACCCCGCCGCGGGGATTTGAACTGCTGACCATGAGATTGGCAAGCCCTAGGCGCTGAGGATTTATCCACAGTGCCACCCGCGTCCCACAAGTTAGTTTTGACTAATTTCTGTCCAAACTAATATAAGAAAGTGAGAAACCTTGATTCTGTTCCTGTTCCTGTTGAGTTTTAACCTCAAGTTGAACAACATGTGGCACACTCTGACTGCATTAGCTTCATGAGGATGTTCTTGTGTGACCCTCAAGTTTGCATGCCCCACTCCCCTCAAGTGTGGAAGTAATAAGCAGTTTGGAAATGTTTTAGATTAGCTGCAGTTTGCCGTGTCATATGAACAGACAAACCATGGTTCATCTTAACTGTGCTTAATGGAAACAACCATAGTTTATAAAGCTTGCTTGTCTTCATTAATCATGGTTAAATCAGCTACAGTTTTGGTTTGAAATGACACCCTAAACAACAGTTAATTTTTGAAAGGAGCAGTCTGTTCCTCACAGCCATGTTGCAGGGAAAATATTAGAGAGAGGTTAGGCTCTTTCTGTCAAAAATGTCATGTTCCTTGCTAGTACAGTGGTACCTCGGGTTAACTACTTAATTCATTCCGGAGGTCCGTTCTTAACCTGAAACTGTTCTTAACCTGAAGCACCACTTTAGCTAATGGGGACTCCTGCTGCTGCCGTGCCGCTGCTGCACAATTTCTGTTCTTATCCTGAAGCAAAGTTCTTAACCCGAGGTACTATTTCTGGGTTAGCGGAGTCTGTAACCTGAAGTGTATGTAACCTGAAGTGTATGTAACCCGAGGTACCACTGTATAACAGATCTGAACAAAAGTTTTTGTCCCTTAATTAATTTGTATTGCATTATTTATTTATTATATATGTTATTAATTTAGTAAATTTATATCCCACCCTCCCAAAGCAGCCTAGGGTGGCAAACAACAAGTGATAAAACAATGAAAGCATCTTAAAAACAATTCCAAAACAGAAAGTCTTGCTGGAAGAGGAAGGTCCTTAGAAGGTGCTGAAAAGACAACAGAGGTGGTATCTGTCTAATATTTAAGGGAAGAAAATTCCAATGGTCAGGTCTCACAGCACCTTATGTTCTGCAGTACAGACTTCCTGAAAAGATGGCATCTGCAGGAAGCCCTCATGTATAGAACACATTGACTGGCTGGATATTTAAGGCGTGAGATGAATATTTCAAGTTTCCTGGTCCCAAGCTGTATAGGGCTTTATTATACACCAAAACCAGCACCTTGAACTTACCTCTGTAGCTAATTGGCAGTCAGTGCAATTTTTGCAATGATTAAGTTGTGGAATGCTCCCCCCAGGGAGGCCTGCATAGCACAAATGTTAATGTCTTCTTGGAGCCAGGTTAAGACCTTTTTATTTGCCTGGCCTTTTAAGGTTAATTTTAGATCAGTTTTAAACGCTGGTGTTTTAGTTTTTTTAAATGTGCTGATGCTGTTGTTTTTAAATGATTAATGAGGTTGTTTGTTTTTTTAAACTTTAAGCCACACTGAATGCCCTTGGACTGCAGATGATGATGATAAATAAATATGAGCGTACAACCAATATACTGAAATACGGTCGTACTTTGGTTGCCAAATGCCTTGGAACTCATATGTTTCGGCTCCCAAACGATCAAAAATTGGAAGTGAGTGTTCCAGTTTTTGAACGATTTTTGGAAGCCAAACATCCGGCACGGCTTCAGCAGCTTCTGATTGGCTGCAGGACGCTCCTGCAACCAATCAGAAGCCATGTCTTGGTTTTTGAATGGTTCCGGGAGTCAAATGGACTCCCAGAACGCATTCTGTTCAAGAACCAAGGTATGACTGTGCTGAGATTGTGCAGGCATCACCATAGGGGATGCAGTGGAGGATTTAAAAAAAATTCCATCCCTGTGATTGATGGACCCATGTGGTTACTTGACAAGGGGGAGCCTTTATTATACTTATACGCAGATCCTGAATTGCGCTTTGTGTTATCGCCAAACTTTTCTTTTTTCCTCACTCTTGCAGTTAATTATCAGGAACATCTCATTACCAAGAGCTGATAATGGGGGGCGGGGAGTTTAGAACTGTAGGTATAAAAGTGTGCCTGTCTTCAGGTTTGAGAGAAGTATGGAGGTTTTGTATGGAATGGAATGTATGTATGGAAGTGAGAGCTGGACCATAAAGAAGGCTGATCGCCGAAGAATTGATTCTTTTGAATTATGGTGCTGGAGGAGACTCTTGAGAGTCCCATGGACTGCAAGAAGATCAAATGCATCCATTCTTAAGGAAATCAGCCCTGAGTGCTCACTGGAAGGACATATCGTGAAGCTGAGGCTCCAGTACTTTGGCCACCTCATGAGAAGAGAAGACTCCCTGGAGAAGACACTGATGCTGGGAAAGATGGAGGGCACAAGGAGAAGGGGGCGACAGAGGACGAGATGGTTGGATAGTGTTTTCGAGGTTACCAGCATGAGTTTGACCAAACTGCGAGAGGTAGTGGAGGACAGAGGTGCCTGGCGTGCTCTGGTCCATGGGGTCACGAAGAGTCGGACACGACTAAACGACTAAACAACAACAACAAATGGAAGTTTTGCATCCCTACCTTTCTTTGGGTTTAAAAAAAAAGACTGTGTGTGTTTGGCTGGCAGCTGTGAGAATATGTTGCTGGACTAGGTGGGTCTTTGGCCTGATTCATCAGGACTTTTTTTTTTTACTGTAGTGAATAAGTAGATAGCAAAAGTGCTATTTTTGTAACATCCATGTATGCAAAGTAGTCAGTGGCCTCATTCAGAGGTAAGACTAAACCATATTTTAGCGCTACAGTGAGATTTGGTCCCATGCATTCTTTTATCCCTTCTCTTCCCCTGGTAATGGCTGAAAGTAGAATGGAAACATTTGATTACTAATTTAAACTAATTATGGTCTATTGTTATGTCCAAACTGGGAACTATATTTAAGTTTTAATAGATTTATTCAAACAAGTTATAATTATAAACCATGGTTTGAAGGTGGATGAGTCTGACAAATCAGAGTTGGCTGAAATATGTGAGCCCAAGACTTATTCGGGGCTGGTCCTCTAGCACTAAACTATCCTGCAAAGTCTAAACAAGACCAGAATGTTTTAGGTTTTGGTAGGTAATTTTTATTTTGAAATCAACTCCTTTGTTTGGAGTGAACAGCTGATACATATGTCAGTCCATTTTATGAATTTCTGCATATGAAAGAATAATTGCTTGGAAATGTTTTATTTTTAATGTATAAAACTTTAACAAATTTTGTGTGTTTCTTCAATATCACCTTACCTTTAAACACACACCCTAATTTTGGGTTGCTATGTATTATTCCATGATATGTACCTGAACTGTTCTCTCTGTGTGAGGGTTGGGGTGTTTTTTTGGGCGGGGGAGTGTTTGTTGTACCTGTCAAACTTGAACAGAAATTCATTAGTTACAATATGGTTACATAGTTTCATGTTGCCATCTTGTGGTCAATAGTAGTAGCTGAACAATAATTGTATTCTGTTTTGTTTTAAAGGGCAAACAAAACTTTTATTTAGCCTAACGAATGTATTAAACTGTCTCCCACTCAGGCAATGCTGGCCGTATCTCACCAAAAATTGGAAAAGCTCTAGGAAGTACACCAGGTATGTCTATTTTTGTTTTTTAAACTTTACTTCAAGAAAAGTATTATAAAATATAACACACCATAATGAAGATGAAAGATGCAACTGACGTCCCATCGGTTTACAACAGATTACAAACTGTATCTGGTGTCAGCCTTTTAAAAAATCTGCTCCTATACATGGATATGTACATTCCTCATTTTATTACACAACTAGATAAATTATTGCCATACTTAGGTGCTAAATATGTGCTGCTTTTACTCAAGGATTTACAAAGAGGAAGGATCCATGGTTTTGAAAGAAGTTAGTATATCATAATTAGGTTTAGCAAGAATTTCTCCTTCAGATGATTTAATTTCTAAGGCATTTCATGAATAATGGTGAATATAAATCATTTTTATTCATGTTATTTGTTTACCTACCTTGCATGTTATTTTGTCTTGTTCTGTTAAAAGCAATAACTCTGGAAAGAAAAACACCTCCAAGCTACACACAATAATCCCAGCTTCTCAGTGTTATAATCAGTATGAATATTTTATGTAGATTACAAGGGCATCTTTGCAAGTCATAAAGAAACACTGACAGCCAACACAAGAGTAAGGCTCCTTCTCTAGGGGCATGACCCCTAGCACTGTTGCCTTTACAGTGGTACCTTGGTTTAAGAACAGCTTAGTTTATGAACAATTTGGATTAAGAACGCTGCAAACCCAGAAGTAGATGTTTTGGTTTGTGAACTTTGCCTTGGAAGCAGAACATGTTCCACTTCCTGTTGACTGTGTTCCATTTGTAAATTAAGTCCCCCGCTGCTATGGAAAAGCACGGCTTGGTTTAAGAATGCTTTGGTTTGAAAACGGACTTACGGAATGGATTAAGTTCGTAAACCAAGGTACCACTGTATATTGCAACTGGCTTTCCACACTAATGGGTATTTTGTTTCTTTGTGTATACATCCCACTAAGCTCTGTCCGCACTTGTGGACATGACATAACTGTTGTGGGTAGGGCCATGTGCAATTCAGCACACATTTACTATAATAACCCTAGTGGTGGGTATCATTTTATTTCCCTGTTTTTGTTGCTAAAACACTTTTCCATTATTTATTATTATTATTTTTGAAATAAAGGTGTAGGGCAATCAAAACGTGACATTGCATTTCAGGGTGAGATGAAACCAAAAGAGTGTTAATAAAATCTTTACTAATTGTTGTGCTAGCCCAACAAGGCTTCTACTGCTAGAAGATCCAAAGAACTGTTTAAGCTTATAGAAGACACTGCAATCGCTTGTCAGAAGTTTTGACATCTTTGAAAAGCAGACCCCTGTGTCTTACTACGGACTGCTCTGAAACTCCCCCACAGCTGCAAAAGCAGCTTGACATACCGCTAGGCATTTTTAGGAAAGCAAGTCTAAAATTCCCTCCTGCTCACAGAACTGCTTTCACATTTATTTCGATCTTGGTCATAGGGAACAAACTTTCGTCTGATAGCATACACATAGTAGACAAAGTTATACCCAAAGCATAATTTAATCCATTCATTTCTAGGTTTATAAATGAAAGGTAAACTATTTAAAAATTATTTGTGCTTCTCTATATTTTCAATTTTAATTCAAAAAATTCTTTATTTGCAGCAGACTCATCCATTGTCACTTTTGTCACCTACCCTAACAGTGCCACAGGCAAGATTTCATTCATATTTTTGACATAGAGTAGGCTTGCCTTCTTTAACTTTTCCTCTTTAATTTTGGAGTTTGCATTGATTTTGTGTTTTATATTCTTAGATGCATCTTCAGAGGAAGCTCTGAATACTGAAGGTAAGAATTGATTGCACAGAGGATGTATGTAAACTGTAGCTAACTTTTTACAGTGCTTTTAGTTTGAATAGAAATAGGCCTTGCCTCTTGTTAAAAGCTAAAATACTGTAACAGTGATATTTTGATGTAAAATGAGCATCTTTCTCTTTGTTAAAGCCAACAATGGGATTTGGGGGGTGTACAATTCCGTTACAATTATTATTTCATACTAAATTGCTAAAATCAAAATAATAATGATGTGTGGAGTGTGTGCAGATGAAGGCTCTGCATATACCTGTCTATTAAGAACATGAATTTCCCTTAATGTAGACAGAACAATATACACTGGAAACACAGCTATGTCAACTTCTACAACTGTGGTTGGTAAGGTATCAAAATTAAAACCTATTACATATTAGTGTCACATTGTTCTGTCTTCGCTATGTGTTCTGTCCCCACATTTATTCCACTAAATGTAGGCCCTCGCTCAGTTTCTAAAGACAGAAATATATCACTCCCATTTTGATTCCATGCTAGGAGCTGCATTAGAAATAGGTAGGATAATGAGTGAAAGTTATTATAAACTTATTTTATAATGTTCGAATTAAACTTTTTATTCCCTTTTTTAAAATTCTAGACAATCGTGCATGCAACTTATCATCTATCTGCCAAGACTCAGGTTAGTGACCTTCTCTTACTTCCATTTTAGATTAGCTTTTTTTCAGCTGAAATTGTAGCATTTAACTGTGTTTAGTTTCGAAGTTGAAACAGAAGCTTTTCGTGTTGTCCTCTCACATGTGGAAGAAATGGAAAGGAGCGTTTTGTTACCTCCAAGGCTGATGCAGGCTCATTTTCATAATTTATTCAGATAGAAATTTATATCCTACCATTCTAATGCAAATGGTATGGCATACGGCAATTAAAAATATTGCCTCTTTTTGAAGCAATAGTAAAATGAGACAGGGCAAGAAGACAGATAAAATAAGATCATAAAAGCATGTGATTATTGCCAAACACTTACCAGAATTAGCAACAACCTTCAACAACCAGCAAAAAACAGTGAGAGCTGGAGCCAGGTGTTCCCTAATCTGGGTGTGGTCATAACTAGGTATCTCTAGTCCTACCCAACTCTGCTTCAGCAAGATGGGGCACGGAGAAGGGCCACTCATTCAGATCTTATATAGCAGGCAGATTCATATAGGATGGCTTGTGGTGTGGCCAAAGACTGTGTGGAATAGTCATCCAAATTTTGCATCTGTGCAAAAGAACAGAGGGTCAAATGATTTTTGCACAAGGAAGCTTAAAAGTACAAGCAGAGGTAGTATATGTTTTCTGTTGTCAAAATTATTCTAAACCAAGCTATTAATAATGACGACTTTTACTTTTCAGTCTTCTACACGGGCACTATGAAATTTCAGTCCAGGGGAAACAGCTCTAATGCTTTCTATAACTTAACACTCGTAAGTCTCTTCATTTTGATGAATTGCTATTCCGTGATCCAATTTTGGTTGCAATCTTAATATTATAATTATATCCTGTGATGGTATTGGGAAAAGTATATGCTTGTATCAGGAAAGAGCCACCAGGAGGGTCCCCTAGAAAAAGCTTGTGTGATTGAGTGGGTAACTTTTGATATCAAGTGGGCAGGTATAGGGCTGGATTTAGGTTTGATGAGGCCCTAAGCTACTGAAGGTAATGGGGCCCTTTATATGTCCAACTGTCCCTTGTCAACAACAAATTGACGCTGTTTTTTGTATTGAATATATGCTATATAGTAATTTATGGACCTAATAGGTCCATACACAACACAAAATACTGTTGCTGTATGTAGGTTTTATTTTATTTGTTTTTTATCTTATATTTTGGAAATGTACATCCAGTTTTTTTCCCTTTAAATTTTTTAGGAGCCCCAAGAGAGTGGGGTCCTAAACTATAGCTTGTTTAGCTTATACATAAATCCGGCACTGGGCAGGTATGACGTAGGAAGTGAATGGGAAGGAACATTAACCTAGGCTGCAGGAAATTCTTGCTTGCTACCAATAAAGTTGATCATTAAGAGATGGACATAATGAAAAACCTTCTTTTTATTTTTGATATTAATTGACTTATTTGGCAGGGGGACATCGAGTCAGATAGAATCTTGGAACTTGCCAGGTCCAACACATATTCATGGATGTGAATACTTACGTCCCTTGCTTTGTCAGTGGAAGTAGCTTTAGAAGGTGAAAACCTGAGGAAATGTACCCCTCCCCCAGCAGCTTTTGTCACATACTCCCAGTGTGTTGTGGTAAAAGATTCAGGGACAACTTGTTTCGCTCTCTTCAAGATAATTAAAGTAGGGTTTCTGGGTAGGGATAGGGTTTCTTAAAGCAACATACCTCCTGGGTGAAGCGCCACACCACCTACATTGTTATTATATCTGTCCTGCACTCTTTAATGAGATCCTAGCAATGTACACAAGACTGTACAGTGGTACCTCGGGTTACATACGCTTCAGGTTGCATACGCTTCAGGTTATAGACTCCGCTAACCGAGAAATAGTACCTCGGGTTAAGACCTTTGCTTCAGGATGAGAACAGAAATCATGCTCTGGCGGCGGGGCAACGGCAGCAGGAGGCCCCATTAACTAAAGTGGTGCTTCAGATTAAGAACAGTTTCAGGTTAAGAACAGACCTCCGGAATGAATTAAGTTCTTAACCTGAGGTACCACTGTACTTTGTTAATGTTTTCTTTTTCTTCCCTAGCAATATCCTGGGGACAGCACCAGTCAGTACCAATTGCAAGATACTTCACCAGTACTAAAAGTACCAAAGTAAGCATTCCATAGTTCTTGATTAGGTTTTTGTCCCTTACATCATATTGAATGTTTGGTCATATTTCATTTTGAGTACTCTCACATAGTAGTGGCTGCATTTCCCCATCATTCTATACCATGGTTTAATGCAACATCAGAGTACTTAGTCTCCCAGGTTTGCATGTTTTACACACTGATCTCCTCTTCCCACATTACTTGTAGGATGCCAGAAGCTCTTACATTTAGTTTCCCTTAAGCTTGGTTTGTTACATGTGAAACAGGGGACATGATACATCTCTATGAGCCATTTCAAAACAAGCCAACTTCAAACCATGGCTTGTTGAAACTAACCATAGTTAGTGAAACTATGATACCAGGTTTGGATGCAAATACAATTTGAGTTTAGGAAAGATGTGAGGAACCTTTGGCTCTCCAGATGTTGCTGAACTACAGCTTCCATAATTTCTGACCATTGGCCATGCTTGCTGGTGCTGATGGGAGCTGTAGTTCAGCAACAAAGGCTCCCAAAGGCTTGCACAGCTGTTTGTTGTAGCAGCCCTGGCTATAAGTTCCGCAGGCAAATGGTGCCTCTGGGAGGCACCTCTCTGTGGGGTGGGGGGGATCTCAGAGATCAGGGATGGCAGCAGCAGTTGCCTGGAGGACTCCCAGGGAGAGGGGAAAGGAGAGGAAGCTGAAGGAACACTCCACAAGGGATATTGTTTGAAAAAGGGTGAGAGGCTGCTAGCTCTTCAGGAAAGCAGTGGCATAACTGGGCTCCTGGGCCCTACAGGGGTGCCATAGAAAGAATGTAGCTGGTCCAGGGAACCATAGATTCAGAAAGGTTGAAAGCCTCTGTTGTAGGCATAGGATATGACGGGAGCTGCTGGAAACTAAACTGGCTCAGGGATAATTTACTAGTAAAAATCAAATATAGCATTTCTAACTAAGCTGGCAAAAACTTTTCTTTTAGCATTTCAGATTTCAACCAAACCCTTCAGAGCATAAGTGAGGTAAGTAAGCATTCAGTTATTACTATAGATCTTTATTTGTGGAGGCTTGTGTAATTTTGAACTTGATGATCAAGTAATTTATTTTAAATTTGTTCTTTTATAGTCATCCATCATACAGTGTCATGAAGTAATCCAAAGGTTTGTCATATTCCTAGTGATTCTTTTATTGGCTACAGATATATTAAAAAGTGGAAAGACTGGCACTTCAATGCTTTAATAGACATTTTATAGTGCTATCCAACTCAGAAGTGCTATACCCAGAATAACTTTTCTAAATAGCAAAGCCACTTCTGAAGAAATGTTTGAGGAAGGGTGTGCCATCTCAGTCTTCTAAGTGGAAAGCCATTAATTCTTGAATTATTATTTTTTAAACCTACCTCCAAATCCCCATAGATACTGAAAATATTGGAAAAATTAAACTCTTATTGATGTTTGTTGTTCCTACAAATAGGGTTTTGCTTTGTTTTTAAATTAGTTTAATTAGATCCAATAAGTAGTAACAGACGTTTGGTCCTCATTTGTCTAACAGGACAAGCCAAATAATGGTGCAGACTTGTATAGTTTGGAATAATGTGATTTAACTAATTAAGCAGGAACACTGCTTTAAATAATTCATATGCTGGCATTCAATCTAGTAGCATTTACTAGATTCCCCCCCCCCCACATTGTTTCAGATCAGAGTGCAGTTTCACAATAAAGGTGAAGAAAAACATGGATATAAGCAGCATATTGTCAAAATTGGAAGGAAAAGCAGAACTTAGCCTAATAGGTAAGTAACCAATATTCTCTTGTTCTAGAGATCTGAGATAACCAATGGCACAGGTCTCATCTAAATTCCAGAATTTGAGCCTTTTGCAAGAAGGGGTTTTTAAAAAGGATCTGAGAACTGTTAGTAAAACTGGACTAAGGAGAAACAATGTTTGACAACCCAAAAATCAAAAAGTCTACTTCTGGTTTGTATGTTAACCACTTTCTCACCTCAGCCCTTTTATCTATGGATGATAATAGGATGAGATCATAAATGGATGAGAATGTGCAAGCTGTCTCTGTTTTATATCAGTGCCAATATTTAGTGAGGAATGATATCTGATTTTAAGGGTCTTCAACGCAAGAAGTGGTGCATTTGGGATGGGTGGGGCATGTACTCCCTGGTCACCTATGGATTCAATGAAAGGAGCTCATGTTCCTACTAGGATGCACAGCTAAGTAAGGGAAATTGTTTGGGTCTGCGTATAATGTAGATACCACAACAGAATTTCCGGTGGCTAGTAGATTATACCCAATGCAAGCCATTCATGACATCAGTTTGCAGTATTATTATTATTATTATTATTATTATTATTATTATTATTAAATTTACATCCCACCTATCTTTCTGGGTTTCCCCAACCACTCTGGGCAGCTTACAACATATATACAAACACAACAAAGCATCAAACATTAAAAAACAGTAGGCAATATTGAACACTGTCTTGACTCTCCTTTTGTACTCACACAACTTATCTACTGATCATTGTTTAGGTATAGCCAGCAAGAAGTGTTTTGCATTTTCCCCAAGCCTCTTCACACAACTAAATAATTAATTTATTTTTTCATTTATTAATATGTATTAATCAATTTCCACTCAACCCTTCAAGCAAGTTCTCAGAACAGCTAATTTTTGAACTTCCTTGTGAAGTGGAATGACAGAGTGATTGTATTGCATTTTATATGTTCAGAATATTCTTATGTTGGGGTTGGGCAAAAGGTAGATTTGATAGTAGACCATTGGATGATCGGCAGTTGACCGATTTCTGATCCCCAGTTGTTTAAAATGACCAACAGACTCTCCTGCAAGTGAAAAATTAGACAGTTGAAAGTTTAGGGGAAAGCAAAGATTTGTGCAGATGAGTGTAAACACAGTTCTGTTTCTGAAAACAAGTTCTTGAGCTGAACACAGAGGCATGCTATGTCTTTTGTTCTATGTGTGTTGCTGCTCCCAGTCACTATTTTGCCTCTGGTTGCTGTACCTTGGAGTTCTTTTAATAAACACAATAGGTATAATAAGCCTGAAATCTGCCCACGTGCTCTGACAAAAATAGTTAAAGTTATAGAAGATTTAGTTGTTTTCATAATAATATCTAACTGGCAAATTAAAATGCTAATTGTTCTTAATTTTTTGTTATTCTAGAGTTGTGCTGTTGTCCAGCTTTTTGGCCTGACTCTTGTCCCTCAACTGTTGAAGATCTAAAACCACTGCAATGGTAAATGTGCTATAAAACAAGGCTTAGTCCAGGTTCTGCCTGTATTTGCAACCATGTGCATGCTCTATGGAAGTGAAAGAGCATTGTTCTGTAGTTCACCTTTGTGTTTACTTTGCCTATGAACCACTGTGTCCATGTTAGGAAGGACTGTCTCCTAAATGGCTGTGGAATAAGCTTGATGTCACATTTAGCAGAATTTGAAATCTCTTAACATACCTGAGTTATTATTGTGGCTGGTAAAGAAATCCTCTGGACTCATGAAACACCTTAAGAATATTAGCAAAACCAAATCTGTTCTTATGTGTTTTTAAATCTATCCATATAGTAATTACTGTGCTTCTTTGGAACCTTGCATATCTCTGTCCGAATGCAAGTTGCTGATAAACTGATATCAATACCTGTGTATAATTTTATCTGTGTTCTTCCTGTAGTGGTATTTATGGAGCACTTCCTTGCACAAGCTCTAGATCTCCTGACACATCCGTTTTACCTGTTACTCCTTCCACTATGCCTTCTGATGTTGTGACTCTGCCTGGGTATCCTGCCTCTGAATCAACCACTGCTTCACCTCCACCTTTGACTAAGCCAACCATTGTTTCACCTCCACCTTTGACTGAGCTTACAACAAATGACCTTGCTACAAATACGGTTCTTCCTCTCACTGAACAAAACAGCGTTGTGCTTCCTTCTACAACTCCTACCAGTGCAGTTCTTCCTCCTTTTGAAACAACTAATCCAGTCTTTACAACAGTGCATTCCACAATGGATGCAGTACCTCAGACTACTTCCAAACCTACAGTAGCAGTTTCCCCAGCCACTTCAACTGCCATGACCACTACTTTGGATATTCTTTCCACTACTGAAACAGAGGGAAGTCCAAGAACAGTCAGCAAAGGTAAGCCTTCTTTTTAAACGCATAGTGAAGTTCTGTTGTTACTAGACGTGGGTTACACATGCACTTTGTGGTGTGGTGTGAGACTAGAAATGCATCTTTATGGAGCTTGCTCCATTTGGCAAGCTGAATTCTCAATAGCATACCATGTAGTAGTGACTAGTAGGTGGTTTGCTAGTGTGGCGATAGAAATCCAGTCAGTACGTTGCAGCACCTGGAGCAGAGGTGGATGTGAGCCAACACTGTGCCAATGCACAACTGCTGTGTGGACAGTTTCTCCAGTGTGGGCATAGGTTGCTGACATCTGCAGGGGCAGCTGTCCGTCAAGTAATCATGTATGTGTATGCTACTGGCTGCAGCAACACCTGCCCCCCTTCACCTTGCCTTGTACCACCAGGTAAGGACAGGATTTTCCCTTTCCTCTCTCTTGTTGTGGTGTGGCCACTTGTTTTAGTGACTTGCATCCCTGGCCACAACTATTCCAATGTTGCATGTGCCAGTTGCATCCTAGTGTAAGTCAAGGGAAGGAATTCAAAGGGTTGTCATAAATAATGCTGAAACCTGGAAAATGTTTGCAAATGTAAGCTTTAAAGAACTGGATGCACTTGTTCAGCCGTTCTAATTCATGCAACTGACACATGTTGCATGCTGAACCTGCATGGTAGGAGGAGAGTGAAGCGCACTCACCATAGTGCTTTGATCATTTTAGCCAAAGGGTAATGATAGCCTGGGGCTTTCCCCTGATACATCATACTCACTGACATCTCCCAAAGATAGGATTAGGAATTTTAGAAAGTTCTGTTCAGTCTATGTCATAAGATCTTTTAAGTCACTGGAATTGAATATGAAGATATTTTACATTAAATATATATTTCATGACAGCTGATTTCTGTATTGAAGCAATTCTTGAAGGGGGGAAAAAACACCAGTTCCATTCCAATAGCAGTGTTAAGATATCTTTATAAACCATGGTTTAGCATGACATGCATGAGCAGGAATGAGCCATGGTCAGCCTTGGACTTGTACATCCCCCCCCCTGAAACTTCTGTTTACTATTTACCAGAGTTTGATATGTCAAACGGTTTGACAAACTGTGGTTAATACACTATGGTTCATCTCAAAACAAAGCGGTTGTTTCTTAAACTGGCTTCTTGAAACAAACCATAGCTACAACTAATCGCGATTCTGCGGTTGGGCACTGCAATGAACTGTGGTTAATGAAAAGTGGAAGATAAATGTTCCATATTCTCCCTCTTAGGAAGAAAACGGTATGAATGAGTACTCAAAACTTTGGTTTAGTGTGATGTGAATTTAACGCTTCATTTTCTTGTTTTCAGCTTTGGATTACATACTTTGTGTTTTTCCATCTCTTGCAGAACCAGTGTTCCACAACAAGACCAACACTGCCAACAGTACCGATTTCGAGAACATAGTTTCTGAATTGGAGTACAATTTGACTGCACAAACAATATCACCTGTGCTTGCAAAAGCAATGCTAAACACTGTTGATTTTCTTCTAAACATTTCCGCAAAACATATATCTCCACTGTCTAAAAGGTAGGTGTCCTGTACATTTTTCTTATTTTGATAAGGCTTGTCTGTTGTGTGTGATTCTAATATAATCAGCCGTGTGTGTGTGTGTGTGTGTGTGTGTGTGTGTGTGTGTGTGTATCTCACATACAAGGGGCTGTTGCCCCTGTTTGCTTCTCTCACCCCCCACACCCACAGAAATCACCCCCTTCCCCTTAGAGTTTGCCCAGGCTACCCATCCTTTCCCTGCTTTTACATCTCACTGCTGATGATGAGGAGAGAAGGGTCACATACCAAGTGAGATCATTTGTCCATCTTGCTCACAATTGTCTACACTGATTGACACTGGCTCTTCAGGATGTGAGACTAGAGATACATCCCGCCCTACTTTGAGTTGCTAGAGATTGAACCTCGGACCTTCTGCATACAAAGCCCAATGGTCTACCACTGAGTTACAGCCCTTCTATGCACAAACACATGTGGCCACCATGTGGCCATAGATGAGCAGAAGGCCTCTTTAGATGCATAAAAGACCCCAGAAGCTCAGTTATCTGATTATAGGATTCAAGAGGTTGATACTTACCTGGGCCTTCGGAGATGAGATGGATAAATAAATAAATACTTCATTTTCACTCAAAAATTGAACTTGTCCGTGACTTCTGAGTTTTAGTGATACCTTTTCAAAGCATTTCTATATTTTCAAGTTATTCAAGTGAAGTTACTTTTCATTAAATGCTTATACTTTTTTTCAAACCTATTACATCAGGAACATCATCATGTCATCTTCTGTTTTTACTTTAATAGAATAATAAAAATAGTGGATGGCATTGGCTTAAAATTGAGCTTCCCGGCAGAATCCATTAATTTAAGCTTCCCTTCTCTGGCTCTGGCTGTGCAGAAAGTCAACAGCACCTCGTTTAATGGAGTTTCTTTTGCTGTTGAAGATTCCCCACACCTTCAGGTAAGCTACCCCTCTCCTTTTTGCTTCGGTAAACCTGAAAGGGAAAGAGAACCTGGAAATATAGCTTGAGTGTGGGAGTTTTGTTAAGGGTTGTTAGAGTTGCCCTGACAAACCTACAGTTCCCAGAGTGGTTATCAATCAATCTCTCTTCCCAGGGAATTCTGAAAACTGAAGCTCTGTGAAGAGAATAAGGATCTTCTAACAAGGACATGTTAAAAACAGCCATGACTGTTTAAAGTGGCACAATACTCCTTTAAATGTATAATGCAGTTGGGGCCAATGTTTGATGGAACTTACATGCAGGCACTGAGTGCAAGATTGCAGCCTTGAACGCCAGATGGGTGGGATATAAATAATAAATAATAAATTACTACTACTACTACTACTACTACTGTTATTGTTATTATTTTATTTATCGCTTACTTCTAAGAAGGCATGTAAAGGATTGCAGTGTAGTCTTCATAATTTAAATACGTAAAAAAACAGACTGTACTGGCCAGTAGATTTCAGGGTTCAATGGGCTGTATCCAGTGCTTTGTTCCTGAGGGGACGCAGGGGGATGCATACCCCTAAACATTTTGTGAATCTAAGTTTGGCCTCATTGAGGGGCAGTATTTCAATATGAGTAGGAAAATGAGAGTACCCCTAAACATTTTTTTGGGGGGGAAGCACTGGTTTTATCCAATAGTAGCTTTGTTTTAGTATAGAGTGCTTCTGCTTGCACAAGCTGGAGCAGCTAATTTTTACTGAACAACAGCCCCGCCCCCCCGGCTGCCGCCACCCTTAAGTCCTCCTGCCCCATACGAAAGCTGCTTCTAAGAGTTGGCAGACCCTTTAAAATAGAATGGAGTGTGACATGGAGGACTGCAGGAGCTTATTTTTAAAATATGATTTTAAACAATGTGACATATATTCGGAGTCCTGTAGTGATTTTATGCTCTTTATTGCAGCTTGTAAAACAGTGATTGAATTTCTCCCCAAACCTCAGGCTTTTATATACATTATTTACACAATGAGTTCCTTCTGATTGGCTAATTCAGCTTCCCTCCTGGAGCCTGATTGGTCTTTTCCTGCAAGCCAATCAGTTGTTGCATTCTAGGATCCTACTTGCCTATTGTTCTAGGATCCAAGCTTAGTACATAACACCATGATTACAAAGAGTTCCTGATCTGATGAAGGCTGACAGAATTGCTTCTTTTTCTTGCAATTGGCTCTGGTGTTTCTTTCTGCCATGTGTTTGCCTTGTCACAAGCATTCTAGAGGAGATCATAGAATAATTTGATGCTTATGCCCTCTGTGAACACTAGAAATAAGATGAAATAATAATGAAACCTAAAAATCCTTTGTAATTGTTTTAAACTAGGAAAAACAAATATATAGGAAGCTGCCTTACATTGAGACAAATTTATATTGTCTACAGTGGCTGGAAGCAGCTTCCCAGGGATTCAGGCAAGGAGCATTTCCCAGCCTTACCAGGAGATGCTGAAACCTTTTGAATGCAAAGCCGCTGTTCTGCACTTTGTGCACACTTTTAGATAGCCATTCTTAATAATGTAATTTTATGTTACTTATATGTGAGTCATTAGGAGCTGAAAGAAGAGGACTTGCAGCATTCAGGGCACACACAAATCCATCTGTTCACCAATTAGACTGAATGGGCTTGAAGAGGGAAATGCTTCCCCTGCCCCACAGCTGATGCTTCTCTTTGTTGGTTGAAGTTCATAATTAGGGGAGTCAGATTGGGGTAGATAGATCAATTTGATATAGTCAACGCCAGTAATCCTCTTCACAAAGCACAGCTCCAGACTAGGCTAAATCTAACACAAAGCACAGGGTCCAATTGCCTCTCTATTTTGTATGCATAATAATTCTCTCTCTCTCTCTCTCTCTCTCTCTCTCTCTCTCTCTCTCTCTCTCTCTCTTTTTTTTTTTTTTTTTTAAGGTTGCTCTTGGATCTGAAGTGCCTACAAAAAGTGCTGGATCCATTACACTTCCATCATCAGTCATGACAAATTTGTCTCCAGAAGCTCAGCATCAGGCTTCTAGAATTACCTTCAACTTTTTTGAGAAGACAACTCTTTTCCAGGTATGCCTTCAGACTTTAGCTTTAGTGTATTGTGGCTATAAATACATTTTAATACAATTAATATGAGGGTGTTTTTTCTCTCTCCCCAGGATCCCTCACTGGACAATTTGTCCCTGATCAGTCATGTTATATCATCAAGCGTTGCTAACCTCACAATTAGCGACTTGAAGACAAATGTTACTGTCACACTGCAAAATGCCAGCCCTACTCAGGTACAAATGCAATTTGACCAGTTAACAAGCTTCTATTGCTACAGAACACAGAAATGAAATGTCATAAAAAGGGTCTAATTTACATTAGGCAGACAAGAAAAAATAGCCACATGGAACAGCTGAGATATGATTTGATGGTGGTAAAGGAGCAAGAAAGGAAAAATTCCTGGTGTGTGTGTGTGTGTACATTTATCTATAAATGAGAAATATTTGTAAACAGAAAGCTGATTTTCTTTTTATTGTATTGTTCATTGTACATGGTTTAATTTCAAGGTGTCTTGGAGATAAATAATATTTTCTCCCCCTCTCTCCAAACAGGGGAATTTTGTCAGATGTGCCTTCTGGGACTTCAGTAAAAATGGTATGCCTGTGTGGTTCTGTCTTTTAAATTTTATTAATTCAATCAGTTTATATACAGCAACAACAAAAACTCTTACATCTGTCCAGTACAGTGGTACCTCGGGTTAAGTACTTAATTCGTTCCGGAGGTCCGTTCTTAACCTGAAACTATTCTTAACCTGAAGCACCACTTTAGCTAATGGGGCCTCCTGCTGCCGCCGTGCCGCCAGAGCACGATTTCTGTTCTCATCCTGAAGCAAAGTTCTTAACCCAAGGTACTATTTCTGGGTTAGCAGAGTCTGTAACCTGAAGCGTATGTAACCCGAGGTACCACTGTATATGGAAGACTACTACAAAACAAAACAATCCAACAATAGCAACTAATGGTTTAACTTGCATTAACTTTGCAGTAGTTTAAAACTCTACCAGTTATATATTAACAATGGAACCTTTTAATTCCTGGCAGGTGGCAAAGGAGGCTGGTCCTATGACGGCTGTGTAGTTAAAGAGAGAAGAACAAATGCAACCGTCTGCAGCTGCAACCATCTCACAAGCTTTGGCGTTTTACTGGTAATGCCTGTAGTATATAACCAAAAGCTGCAAAGCGGTTCCTTATGCCACTATGTCTTAAAAGTGGCTTGCCTTGTGGCATAGAAAGGTGGGGGAAATCACAGGAATATACCTGATTGCAAAGTCCTTTGGATTGTTGGTTAAAGTACCTGAATTGTGGTATTAAAAGAAACCAATATGTGCTTAAAAGCTAGTATGTGCTAAGGCACATGATTCTAGGTTCATGCGTGGGAGAAAGAAAGACAGAGGTTCAGTTCAGGGGTACATATATCAGTTTATTAAGCTGAGACATGCACAAGCTTTGTCCCCATATACTCCACCTGTTTGCTGCTGCTTCCTTCCTTTTCCAAGTGTTCTATGGAAGCCTTCTTTCCCAATTAGGATGTGATTGGAAATTATGGTTAATTTACTTAGGAAGTCTTCAGATGCTGGTACGCTGAGAAGATGAAGGTGTGGCTTAAGGACACAGCATACGGGCGCATGGCTTGTGTAGCTATCTCAGTTTGGTAAAACCAGATATTTATGCCTGAACTGAGCAAGAGAGATTAAGGTAGATTAAGTTAGATTTTATAATCTCTTTGTAAAAATATGGATAACACGTAGCATTTTTAAAAGAAATGATTTATCTAGAGCCGCCTTACTGTAATAATAATAATAATAATAATTTATTATTTATACCCCGCCCATCTGGCTGGGTTTCCCCAGCCACTCTGGGCGGCTTCCAACTGAATATTAAAAACAGTACAGCATCAAACATTAAAAACTTCCCTAAAGAGGGCTGCCTTCAGATGACTTTTAAAAGTAAAATAGTTGTTTATTGCTTTGACATCTGCTGGGAGGGCGTTCCACAGGGCAGGAGCCACTACCGAGAAGGCCCTCTGCCTGGTTCCCTGTAACCTTACTTCTCGCAATGAGGGAACCGCCAGAAGGCCCTCGGCGCTGGATCTCAGTGTCCGGGCTGAACGATGGGGGTGGAGACGCTCCTTCAGATATACTGGACCGAGGCCGTTTAGGGCTTTAAAGGTCAGCACCAACACTTTGAATTGTGCTCGGAAACGTACTGGGAGCCAATGCAGATCTCTCAGAACTGGTGTTATGTGGTCCCGGCGGCCACTCCCAGTCACCAGTCTAGCGGCCGCATTCTGGATTAATTGCAGTTTCCGGGTCACCTTCAAAGGTAGCCCCACGTAGAGCGCGTTGCAGTAGTCCAAGCGGGAGATAACTAGAGCATGCACCACTCTGGCAAGACAGTCTGCGGGCAGGTAGGGTCTTAGCCTGCGTACCAGGTGGAGCTGGTAGACAGCTGCCCTGGACACAGAATTAACCTGTGCCTCCATGGACAGCTGTGAGTCCAAAATGACTCCCAGGCTGCGCACCTGGTCCTTCAGGGGCACAGTTACCCCATTCAGGACCAGGGAATCCCCCACACCTGCCCGCCCCCTGTCCCCCAAAAACAGTACTTCTGTCTTGTCAGGATTCAGCCTCAATCTGTTAGCCGCCATCCATCCTCCAACAGCCTCCAGGCACTCACACAGGACCTTCACCGCCTTCACTGGTTCTGATTTAAAGGAGAGGTAGAGCTGGGTGTCATCTGCATACTGATGAACACCCAGCCCAAACCCCCTGATGATCTCTCCCAGCGGCTTCATATAGATATTAAAAAGCATGGGGGAGAGGACGGAACCCTGAGGCACCCCACAAGTGAGAGCCCAGGGGTCTGAACACTCATCCCCCACCACCACTTTCTGGACACGGCCCAGGAGAAAGGAGCGGAACCACCGTATAACAGTGCCCCCAGCTCCCAGCCCCTCTAGACGGTCCAGAAGGATGTTATGGTCGATGGTGTCAAAGGCCGCTGAGAGATCCAGCAGAACTAGGAAACAGCTCTCACCTTTGTCCCTAGCCCGCCGGAGATCATCAACCAGCGCGACCAAGGCAGTTTCAGTCCCATGGTGAGGCCTGAATCCCGATTGGAAGGGATCCAAATGGTCCGCATCCTCCAGGCGTGCTTGGAGTTGTCTGGCAACCACCCGCTCAATCACCTTGCCCAAGAATGGTAAATTTGAGACTGGGCGATAGTTGGCCAAATTGGCTGGGTCTAAAGATGTTTTTTTAAGAAGCGGTTTAATGACCGCCTCTTTCAGCGGGTCTGGGAAGGCTCCCTCATAGAGGGAAGCATTCACCACCCCGCAGAGCCCATCGCCCAGCCCTTCCCGGCTCGCTTTTATCAGCCAGGATGGGCAAGGATCCAGGAGACAGGTGGTCTGTTTCACTTGTCCAAGCAGCCTGTCCACATCCTCGGAGGTAACAGATTGGAATTGATCCCATGTAACAGGACCAGACAGAACTCTAGCACTCTCCCACCCTGGCCCTGCTCCCACGGTGGAGTCTACCTCCTTCTGAATCTGAGCGACTTTATCTGCAAAAAACTTTGCAAAAGCATTGCAGGAGATCTTGGGGTCCCTACCAGGCCCCGGTGGTGCAGGTGGTTCCGATAGATTGCGAACTACCTGAAAAAGTCTCCTGCTGCTGTTTTCTGCAGATGCAATGGAGGCGGTGAAGAAGGCCCTCTTCGCCGTCGCCATTGCCACTTGGTAGGCTCGACGTTGAGCTCTAGCCCGTGTCCGGTCTGATTCAGAATGAGTTTTCCGCCACCGGCGCTCTAGCCGTCTCAACGATTGTTTCATCACCCTCAGCTCCGGGGAAAACCACGGGGCTGTCCGGGCTCCATGCAATCGGAGAGGGCGCTTCGGAGCCAGACAGTCAATAGCCCTGGTTAACTCCGCATTCCAGCGGGCCACCAGGGAATCAGCTGAAAGGCCATCAACTTGGGATAAAACATCCCCTACCACTCTCTGGAAGCCAATTGGATCCATTAAGTGGCGGGGGCGGACCATCCGAATCGGTCCCACCTCCCTGCAGAGGGGAAGGGTCGCGGAGAAGTCCAGTTGCACCAGGAAGTGATCTGACCATGGCACTTCTTTTGTTTCGCTTTTAGATAATGTCAGATCACCAACATCTGTAGAGGTAAACACCAAGTCTAAGGCATGTCCGCGGCTATGAGTTGGGCCAAACTTATTCAGGGACAGCCCCATGGAGGCCATGCTTTCCACGAAGTCCCGAGCGGCCCCTTGTAAGGTCGTGTCGGCATGGATGTTAAAATCCCCCAGGACAACCAAGCTAGGTGTCTCCAGGAGCATATCCGCCACGACCTGAAGCAGCTTGGGCAGGGAATCCTTGGTGCAGCGGGGAGGTCGGTACACCAATAGGAATCCTGTACTGCCCCTATTGCCCAACTTCCAGAACATGCACTCAGAAAATTGGGTCTTCCCAATAGGACGCCTGGTGCAGACTAATGACTTCCTAAAAATCACTGCAACCCCCCCCTCCCCGCCCACATGACCTGGGTTGCTGTGCGTAAGAGAAACCTGGTGGGCAAGCAGCGGCAAGGACAGGCCCATCTGCCTCATCCAACCAGGTCTCTGTCACACATGCCAGGTCAAATCCTCCATCCACAATCAGGTCGTGGATGGCAGTGGTTTTATTCATCATTGACCTGGCATTGCACAGCAATAACTTAACAGAATAATAAAATACTGTAGAAATCCAGGCGTTGGTTGTTCCGGCAGTGAATAACCAGAACGTGGCTTGTAAATGAAATTTGTTCTCATGCTTCAAAAGAAAACATTTATTATTTCCTTTGCAGGATTTATCAAGAAACACCACTACTATATCTCCCACACAAAGGCTGATTCTAACTTTCATCACGTACATAGGCTGTGGCCTTTCAGCCATTTTTCTTTCTGTTACTCTTGTTACATACATTGCATTTGAGTAAGTACCTGCTCAGTTCTAATCATATCATAATGATGGTTATTATTTACTGCATCTGTTTATTGATTCAAGGTATTTATATACCAGTTTTCAGGTGGACTTCACAGAGCACCTTTCATAAGATTATTACAGTGATAAGTGCTGATTTTTTAAAAAAAAAGTTACAGGAAAAGACAACTTGTTTGTTTGGAAGAAGCTGTTGCGGCTCCTTCTCATTCCCCTCATGGCAAGATGTTTCTGTTGAAGCCCCTGTGTGGCAGGCAGACTAGGGAAGAGCCTCCTTAATGTGGCTTAAATATAGATGTAATCACATTGAAGGATATCATGCTATATTGAAGGACATTGATATTTTGCTATAGCTGAGAGCAAATTTCAGAAAAGAAACAGCTAAAATTAAAAACAGCCTTGGATTATAATAAAGTTTTGTTTATGTGAAGTCAGGGATAGAAATTGCCTTATACTGAATAAAACAATACACATATTTTTAATAACATTGTATTGTCTTTGTAGGACGCGGGTGGCGCTGTGGGTAAAAGCCTCAGCGCCTAGGGCTTGCCGATCGAAAGGTCGGCGGTTCGAATCCCCGCGGCGGGGTGCGCTCCCGTCGTTCGGTCCCAGCGCCTGCCAACCTAGCAGTTCGAAAGCACCTTCGGGTGCAAGTAGATAAATAGGGACCGCTTACAAGCGGGAAGGTAAACGGCGTTTCCGTGTGCGGCTCTGGCTCGCCAGAGCAGCGATGTCACGCTGGCCACGTGACCCGGAAGTGTCTCCGGACAGCGCTGGCCCACGGCCTATAGAGTGAGATGGGCGCACAACCCTAGAGTCTGGCAAGACTAGCCCGTACGGGCAGGGGTACCTTTACCTTTACCTTTATTGTCTTTGTAATTGACATTGATACAAAGAAACTCATTGAACAAATTTTGCAGTATGTGGCATGCCTTAGTGGACTGGTTAGACTCCAAAAATATTGCTCTCGAGAACAATTGATATGATATGGAATTTAACTTCTTGTCCTGTTGTCATAACAAAAACGTAACTAACCCTACGGCCCACCTTTTGTGTTCTAACCTGTGTTGTTCTTGAATACTGTGATTGATATTGATGCAGGCGATGTTCATTTACTTGTTTTTATAGGAAAATCCGAAGAGATTATCCTTCTAAAATCCTCATTCAGTTGTGTGTTGCTTTGCTTCTTCTGAACCTGGTTTTTCTCCTGAACTCCTGGATTGCTTTGTATAAGAACGAAGGCCTGTGCATCTCAGTTGCTGTGTTTCTTCATTATTTCCTTTTGGTTTCTTTCACTTGGATGGGCCTCGAAGCCTTTCACATGTATCTGGCCCTTGTCAAAGTGTTCAATACTTACGTTAGGAAATACATCCTAAAGTTCTGCATTGTTGGCTGGGGTAAGTATTTCTTTCTGGATTTATATTTGAAATGAGACTATATATGTCCTTCTAACTTGTTCAGAAGGATGGAATCCCATACTCACCTGAGAGTACAGCAATTGAACAAAGTGGGGCTTTACTTCTCAATAGCCATATGTAAGACTGCACTGTCATTAGCTAAAGGGAGATCTATACACAGAGCCAGTGTGCTGCAGTAGACAATGTGATAGAATTAGACTAGGATTTAGATTTCCATGAGATGTTGAACTCAGCTACATTAGTCAAATTACATTATAAATGCATTATAACACTGTGACACCAGATGGTGCTGTAGAGCTGAAATTGCAATTCGGTGATATTTTCCATTGTGAGCTTTACAATGGTTTTTCCCCCAGAGCATTTTCAGAGCGTTTTTTTATAGCTGTGTAGATCTAGCCATAGATTCAAACTGCCTTCAGCTGTGAGACGCATCTAGCCTTAGGCAAATCACTTTCTCTCTACTTAGCCTACTACACAGTAGCTTTTTTATTAAGAATTTAATTGATTCAGTTTAACTGAAATGAAACCACAATAGAAGTCAGTGTTGTTGCAAGGATAAAGTAATATATCATCATGTATGCTTAGTGAATTTTAAAATAATAGGATCATTATACAAATTTTTGCAGCTCATAATACTTGTCTTTTTTTATAAAAAAAAGTCAGGCACAATTTCTTGGAAACTTATTCAGCAATTAATATTCAGAGGGAACCAGGATGTTATGGCTTGCAATAGTGAACAAGAGCATTGCATAGGTACAAATGCAATGTGTTGCTGCCTGTCATCGCTTCCTTCAGTTTCCAAGCAGCATTGCAATAGCTTACCTGCCCCTGGCTGAAATGATAGCATTCCAAAGGCAAGGAGTGCTGCTGAAACAGATCTGTCTGAGCTCTCAGAAAAAAATATTTGTTTATACATATATGTAGTCATGTGTTTTTCTTCTGACAGTGATGTCAGCAGACTGCTTTCGAGTACGCTAATCTGTGGGGTTTCAACTCCTTCTAGGAAACGTGCTATACTACATAGTGCAGTTGTAAAGATTATAAATGTATAAGTATTGCTCTGAATATTTGTAATATCAAGTAGTGGCCATCCACCAGCACGATGTGTCTTCAAATTCCTAGCCCCCTGCATTCCTCCCTGCAGGTCCCCAAAATCTGCTCAGGAAGGTCAGAGCATCATCTAGAGTAGATTTGAGGAGCGACATGCAGGGCTGTGCAGTGGAAGGAACCATTCCAGTCCTTTCTGCAAGCAAAGTCTGCTCCCACGACATTGTATTTCATCCTAAATACATGTTTTACTGTTGTTTCTATACAGCAGTTCTCATTGCCACCTCTCCAACAACCTAAGTATGTTTTTGCTGTATTTTTCATATACCTAATGCCTTTTTATCTTTCAGGGGTACCAGCAATTATAGTAGCCATTGTACTGATAATATCTCGAGATAACTATGGACTTGGCTTTTATGGAAAGTTTCCCAACGACTCAAATGATGAATTGTAAGTCAGCAACAACCACCATATGCTGAAAGTATGAAGTTGCTTAAGTAGCAGCATATACAGGGATGATTTTTGCTCCTCTTAATAATCATTCTTAAGGTCCTATGCCATGTGTGTGACTGAGTTAGTACCATACATATCTCTGGAATGATGGAAGAAAAAGAAATGATATAAAATACAGATGTAAAATTAAAAGCATAAATTTAAAACATGATTGTGCCCTGAAGATAAAGAAACAAGATATTTCATTGTGTTACTTTAGGTGTGATATATCCTTTTGAATGCACTTGATTGCAGTGATGGAAAAAGTTAAAAATTTAAACCAAGTGAAAATCTGATTAAATATATATATATTTAAACTATAAAGAGAGTTTGTGGCCTAGTTACTAACTTCAGTTGCAAGTAAGGTAGATGTGTAGCGGTCTCATCAAAACTGCAGACTACACGGCCAATTTTTTTTTATTCTGTTGCATGATGGGATGCTGTTCTGCCGGGGGGCGGGCGCGAGAAAGGGCTTTACTGTACGTGGAACTAGTCACGTGACTTTCTCAGTTTAGAGCTTTTCATTTTCAAAATGTTTATGGAACTGACTGTCACTTTTCATGTCCCGTTTTGTATTTTTTTTAGTTGCTGGATTAAAAATGATATTGTGTTTTACATCACGGTTGTGGGATACTTCTGCACAATATTCTTGCTGAATATCAGCATGTTCATAGTAGTGCTGATTCAGCTTTGCCGAATCAAAAAGAAGAAGCAACTTGGTGCCCAGCGAAAAACCAGCATCCAAGATCTCAGGAGTGTTGCTGGCCTCACGTTCCTACTGGGAATTACTTGGGGATTTGCCTTTTTTGCATGGGGTCCTGTAAATCTTGCATTCATGTATCTCTTTGCCATCTTTAACACCTTGCAAGGTATGTTCTTGGGGTTGTTTTTTTAAAAAAAGCAGATCGTATTAATACATAATTAACAGAATACTTATAGCACTCTGTACAATGAACACAAAGCACTATCTGGATGCAATCCTTTGGTCCCAGCAAAGGGTGTAATAAGATCAGTTGAGTCCTCCTCTTTGATGATCTAGCAGTTTTATAAATAATTAAAAAACCAGGTAAATCCAGTGCGTCCCTTAAACTTTAACACATTCTTTTTTTGCAGGTTTTTTCATTTTTATTTTCTACTGTGTAGCGAAGGAGAATGTCCGCAAGCAGTGGAGAAGGTATCTGTGTTGTGGAAAGTACAGACTGGCTGAAAATTCTGGTAAATATGGTGTGTTTTTTTTAAATGTTAAAATGTGTGTAGTCACAGTGAGTTGAATCTAAAGGTGCTGGGATAGCTCAGTTGGTAGAGCATGAGGCTCTTAATCTCAGGGTCCTGGGTTCACATGGGGCGAAAGATTCCTGCACTACCGGGGGTTGGACTAGATGACCCCCAACTCTACAGTACTCAGATTCTATGATTCTATGTATCTTTGTAAGCGGAAAATGCTTACAAAGCAGATCCCAGACTGTTACAAATGGTCCCCCTGGGGGGGGGCAGGACGGTGCTGTGCAGAGGAGGGACTGGGAAGACACCCTTGCATGAACTCTGAGCTTGGGAATTTATATTTTTCACTGTTGCCAAATAAATTTACCAATGTCAAACAAACCATTTTCAGACCATATATAGGTTTGTTAGTGTAATTTATATACTGTTTCTAACTCTGTAATTCCGCAATCAGCAGAAACTGTTCTGCAGTGTTTATCAAAGCGCAAGCTGGCATGCTATTTGAAGCAGATAAAAAATCAATTTTATGAAACTGAGTTTTTGTTAGTGAAATTAGAGAACTTTGGTATTAAGAGAAATGGATAGTCAACATTTTCTAAATTACCAAGGATAAAACAACAATAAAAAATGTAAAGTATTGGCAAAATCTATAGTTATAAAACCATTGGAGGGGGGGGAATAGGGGCTTTATAGATATGAGGTTTAAATTACCTTATTAATTGTACTTTTGAATGGGGCTTTAACATACATAATCATTCTTTTGTAATCCTTATTTTGCTGTAGATTGGAGTAGAACTGCTACAAATGGATTAAAGAAGCAGAATGTTAACCAGGCAGTATCCACTTCCTCCCATTCTTTGCAATCCAACAGTAACTCCACCAATTCCACCTCAATGCTAATGAATAATGATTACTCAGCGCAAGCAAATGGGAATGGTATGTATACAGTACTGAGATACTCAGCTTCTATATTGAACCAGTCAACTGGCTCGAGTTCTAACAAACTTTTTTAAAATAAACATTTCAGGCAATGTCTCCAGTGAGAGGAACGGCGTTTCTTTCAACGTGCAGAATGGCGATGTGCGACTTCCTGACTTTTCAGGGAAACAGCTCATATTTCAAGAGAACCATGACACAGGCCCTAAGAAATCTTGCATTTCACTTAGAAGGACTTCAAAGAGAGGGAGCCTGCACTTTATTGAACCAATGTGACATTATTAAAAGTTGCTATTGTTTCACGCAGCGACATATAGGTTTATTTTAACCGTTTTACATAATGTGAGAAGACTACCCACCCCCACGCCCCAGAAAAGGACATTATTTAATATATAATAGCAAAGCTTCAAGGCAGCCTCCGATGATCAAAAGCGTTTGTATTGTTTTTTTCTTTTAACGTCAGTGAAATTAATTGACAAGGTACGTTAGACGTAGCATCGTGACTGGAAAACACGACGGGCTAAATTGTGTGGGGGTTTTTTTAACAGTGGATGTTACAAGTTCCTTTTACAAGTTCAACTTACAGTTATGAATAACTCGAAACATTGTACAGTAATGTTGTATTACTATAGATAATTAGATGCGAAACTGAAAAAGATGCTTAACAGCGAGATCCTTTACATGTCTGTTCAGAAATAAGTTCCATTGAGTTCAAAGGAACTTACTCCTAGATGTGTGTGTAGGTTTGCCTACATAGTAATATGTGATGTCTGCATCTTTTAATAGGATGTAGTCACAGATATAGTATTGTATATAGACAAAACAACAACTACCTTTGATTATCCTTTATATTTATTTCTTGTAAATTAAGTTTAATATTCCTTTGTATAGAAAAAAATAGTTGTGCAGAGTTTGAAGCCTTATTGTAATTATAAATTTATATGAAGTGAATTATTTCAGTTATCCTCGAATACTTGTGTAAGTATATACAAAAATGTGTCTGTGAAATAATTTAAAATGGTCATATACAGGTTGGGAAGACATTAGATTGCAAGTATGACTTCTGTTGGTGAGCTTGCTCATCACAGTTTAAGAACACATGAAAGCCTATTGGGAATTTTTTTTAAAACCACGAATTTAAAGATGGTTAGAGGAAAATCTACCACTTTTTCTCCCCAGAATGGTGATGTCATGTTAAAAGAAAACCACTCACAGGTGTTTGGGTTTGAAACAAATTATTCAAGCATTGGTGACACCATGTCATTTACCAGGGATATAATCATAATAATAACACTGGTCAACAACAAATTTGTTGTCTGCATTTTTTCAGTTGATTTAGGATGAATCTGATGCGCTGAATCCAAAAATCACGTTGGTTTTGCTCAATCAGGTCAAGTTTTTGAGCTATGGCCACATGTCATTTTTTTACGTTTTTGTTCACATGTACGCTTGTGTGGAGCATTTTAGAACAAGTTGGTGGGGGTAAAATGCCATGTTGAATAATTGTTTTGATTGGAAATGATTGTTTTAATGACAAGAAGTATTCAGGTCCGATAGTTCTGGGTGATTATGTCGAAAAGGGATCAGTTTGAAGTCATAAAACCTCGAAATCTTCCATAAATTGGTGTGGCAAAGCATAAAGTTGGGGGATCAAAACTAAGTTAATGGGGCAGCCGCCCCACGAAGTATCCTGATCTTCGATCAGCACGTTGTCCTGTAGCTCATTGTGATGAAATTCCAGTGCCTATCTTCGGAGAACTTCCTGACATTAGTGATGAAGATGCCTCCAGTGTTGAAGGACATGAAGAAGTAGAAGTGGTTCTTGAAGATGATGCTCCACATCCATTTTCCCAAAAGGAGTTGAATGATCTAGTTCACGACCTCAGCTTGTCAAAGGACTCTGCCGAACTGTTGGCATCCAGACTGAAGGAAAAAAACCTCCTCTCTGACAGTGCTCGCATCAGCTTCTTCCGCAGCAGGCATCAAGAGTACCTCCGTTTTTTCTCGGAAGAGAAGGACTTGGTGTACTGTGCAGATATTGCGCAGCTTCTGCTCAAGCTTGGAGTGCCACAGTACGAACCCAAAGATTGGAGACTGTTCACTGACAGCAGCAAGCGATCACTGAAATGTGTTCTGCTACACAACGGCAACCAGTTTGCCTCTATACCCCTGGCTCACTCGAGTACACTGAAGGAGAACTATGAAGCGGTGAAGTATGTGCTGAAGAAAATTGGTTATGATCAGCATAAGTGGTTTATTTGTGTTGACCTGAAGATGGTGAACTTTTTGTTGGGACAACAGTCTGGCTTCACCAAGTACCCATGTTTTCTGTGCATGTGGGATAGTAGGGACGGTGCACGAAGAAGGACTAGCCTGTGCGGGAGGAATTGGTGCCTTGCAAAAGAAGGAACGTCATCAACGACCCTCTGGTGGACAGAGACAGAATACTCTTCCCACCACTGCACATCAAGCTCGGCTTAATCAAGCAGTTCACCAAGGCTCTGGACAAGGATGGTGACTGCTTCACTTACTTGTGCCAGGCTTTTCCAGGATTGACCATGGAGAAGTTGAAAGCTGGCATCTTTGACGGTCCTCAGATCCGTCAGCTCATCAGAGATCCAGAGTTTGGAAACTCAATGAACGAAGTGGAACTGGAAGTGTGGAAGGCATTTGTTCTGGTAGTGAAGAACTTTCTTGGCAACAATAAGGCCAGAAACTACGCAGAACTTGTCAACAACATGCTGACTGCTTTCAGAAACCTGGGCTGCAACATGAGCGTCAAGATGCACTACCTATTTTCACATATGGACTGGTTTCCTGAGAACCTGGGTTCAATGAGTGACGAGCAGGGGGAGAGATTCCATCAGGACATGAAAGAGATGGAGACCAGGTATCAGGGTTGCTGGGACGCAGTCATGATGGCTGACTACTGTTGGACTCTGAAGAGAGACCTCCCTGCCGCTGAGCATTCCAGGAGTTCCAAGAAACGGAAGTTCAAGCCCTGAAGTTTTAAAAATGGTGAAGCAACATGCAATTTACGTGTACTTACCTTTATCAATGCCCACCATTCAGTTTACAGTAAACCTGACCTGATGGAGAGAAACGGATGCCATTTCCTGATTCAGCAGTGCAAAAATACTCTAAATCAGTTGTAGAAATCTAGACAACATTCAAAAAGTAAAAAATTGTTGCCCAGTGTAATTTATTATTTATACCCCGCCCATCTGGGTGGGTTTCCCCAGCCACTCTGGGCGGCTTCCAACAAAGATTAAAATACAATAAACTATTAAACATTAAAAGCTTCCCTAAACAGGACTGCCTTCAGATGTCTTCTAAAAGTCTGGTAGTTGTTTTTCTCTTTGACATCTGGTGGGAGAGCGTTCCACAGGGCGGGTGCCACTACCAAGAAGGCCCTCTGCCTGGTTCCCTGTAACGGCTTCTCGCAGTGAGGGAACCGCCAGAAGGCCCTTAGCACAGTGTCCGGGCAGAACGATGGGGGTGGAGACGCTCCTTCAGGTATACTGGGCCGAGGCCGTTTAGGGCTTTCAAGGTCAGCATCATATATACATATTATAATGGAAATCCTTCTCCTGAAGGACTGCTTCAGAGGGGAAGGGAAGGGATAATCTTCCTGTTGCCCCTAAAGCATTGCTTCGGGGAGGGATTTGTAGTTCCTTTATATCACCACAAGTCCTTCAGCAAACACTATTAACTATTCATCCCTGCTTAGGCCTAACAGTTATGCATATCCACTTCTGCCAGGGATGTTTTCCAGCAGCAGATATATGTGCACACAAACCATTCATGGTTGGAATCAGTTTGGGGAATCAAGGGACATTTTGACAAGCAGTCTTTCACAAGTGGGCTATACCAGTCCTGCATGCTCTTAATACATCTCTGTAAAGTGCAGTTTAGCACACACATAGCTTTCATCAAAGTCAAAAGTGGCCAAATGCCTTGGATATCTGATGATCAAAAAGGCAGTTCTATTTTGCAACCTCCTCAAATATGTTAACTGGCAGGTGATGGTCATGGAGCTTGGAGCCAATGGTCAGGGAAGCTCCAAAAGGTGCACCCTCATTTTACCGCGTTAACAATATCACTCATTAACAATTAGCATAGCATCACAGGCCTCTCCTTTAACCTTCTAAAATGAATGCTGATTTTATGCTTAGAACACTTTCGTTATGCGTAATAGAACTGTTTATCCTTAGCTGCAAATTCTTGACAGATGCATTCTTGACACGTAACCTGTACAAAGATAATGAAACCAGCAAATGTCTTGTAATTACATTTTTTTAGTAAATAATTCTGTTAGCTGGCTAGTAGATTTTGCTGGGTTGTTTTTTTTTTAATGAAATTTTGCTTACGCTTTTAATTTTTAATCTTCAGTGGCAGGAGAGAAATAAACAAATACGTATTTCTGCCAGTTATGTCTAGCCTAAGAAACATTATGCCATAATCATAATTATAGCATTATAAAGCTGTTAGTCTTTAAGGTGCCACATGGCTATTTCTTTTTGCAACAACTAACACATTATTCCCCAATAAGCAAGTGACATTCACCCACCCCATGCTTTTCTTTTGAACTTATTTAAAGGTGTGTAAATACTGGCATACTAGGTGATACAGGTTCCACAAAATGCCACAGTACAGTGTCTGGAAAACCCTTCCAAAAATCAGTTTTATACCCTTTACCTGTATTTAAATTGTACAATTTGGAAGTAACATTGAGAATTGCTCTGGAAGTAAACTACTTGTTGCACAGGTGGTGTCATCAGGAAAGGTTCTGCTGAAGACAATTAGGATTCCGCATGACGTTAACAGATTGGAGAACTGAGCCCCAACCAACAAAATGAATTTCAATAGGGGCAATGTAAGGTTCTACATTTAGGAAGGAAGAACCATATGTGCAAATCTAAGATCAGGAGGGGACACCTGTGAAAAGAATCCAGGGGTCTTGGTGGAATACGAGCTTAACATCAGTATAAGGCAATGCAGCAGCAAAAAAGGCTAATGCTCTTCTAGGCTGCATCAACAGAAGCGTAGTGTCATGATCAAGGGAAGTCATAGCACCACTTTATTCTGCCCTGTGCTCAGCTCTGGGCAACACAATTTAAGAAGGATATTGGCAAGCAGGAATGTGCAGAGGAGGGGGACCAAGATGATAAAGGGTCTTGAAAATAAGCCTTACGAGGAACAGTTTGGGTGTGTTTAGCCTGTGAAATAGGAGGCTGAGAGTTATGATAGCCACCTTCAAATATCTAGGGCTGCCATATGGAAGATGGAGCAAGCTTGTTTTCTGGAGGGTAGAACCCGAACCAATGGATTCAAGTTACAAGAAAGGAGATGGACGGAACATCAGTAAGAGCTTCGACGGTGGAACGGTCTCCCTTCGGAGGTTGTGGGGGTTTTTAAGCAGAGGTTGGCTAGCTGCCGCTGAGATTCCTGCATTGCAGGGTACTGGATTAGATGACCCTCGAGGTCACTTCCAACTGTACCATTATATGATTTATTAGCAGTCCAGGAACTTCCAATGCAGCAAGGCTGGGCATCCTAGCAGAGCGCGCGCGTAAAAGCTCAGCCCAGGTCTGCCCAGCGTCCGGCTCCCTTGCGCAACAGCAAAACAGCTTGCGAGAAAGTCCTGACAGGCTTACAAAGAGGCTTCATTTAAAAGCCAAACAGAACGGGCAGAATGCACCCACTGTGTTACATAACACGCAGGCGCAAAATGAAACCCTCCTCCTCCCTCTCGCATTCCCCCCACCTCCTTTTACCGGAAGAGCAATGTAAATATTATTATTTTTTGCGGCTCACGTCTTTGCTGTCGCATATATATATATCTTCGCAGACCTGCTTGCAATAAGAGGCGGGTTGTCTTCGGGATTTCGCCGGCCCCGTAACCAGTCTAATAAAGAGGAGGAACTATTTCTCGGGCCCGGGCGGCGCGT